GACTAAAATTCTTGCATCTCGTTTGCCTGATTTTAATTTTTTTTGAGTTTACTGACCGGACAAACGAATGCTGTAGTTTAATTTGAACTTTGTGGAATTCGCCCCGTGGAAATCTGATTCCCGTAAACGTGTTGGCACTTTACTACTTTTTTCGCACATCAGGATTGAGAATGATGTGCACCTGTATGGAATTTTAATCATTTTGGCGTGTGATAGTCAAAATCGATCAAGTTTGTTGAATTTATTTGTCATCGCATTTTTTGTTCCCCTTTTTTTTATAGAATCCAACCCTCACCGACATGACTCCTCACGATTTGAATTTAGTAGGGGAAGTTGAGCGCCTTTTGCGAGGTATCACCGATCCCGCTTATCGATCTCTCTTTGTTGAGACGGTGATGGTCATCGCTGTGATCTTGGAACGCAACCAAGAGCTCTCCTTCACTGAGGTTGTCGATGTGCGTCTGGTCATCCAAAATGCCATCAAGGACTTTGCAATCACTCATCGCATTGCTAGGTGACCTTTCGTTTTTTGTCTTACCTTTTGCGATAATCACTTTGTGTGTGTGTGGGGGGGGGGTTGGGATTTCACCACTTCAATGTAAATTCTTTGTTACCTCTTTCCCCTCCGGCAGTCAAGAGAACTAGGTGTCACACACATGGCTTTTGGGGGGGATATCTACGCGTTCATTGCAAGATTTAGAGGGTTATCTGTGTGTGTCTTTGATAAGAGTAGCACAAAATTCAGATATTTTGACAACAAATTCATTTGAATGGCTGGTAATGCCAATTTGGTTCATTTGAGGAGCCGGTTTATGAAACTGGCAAGGATTTTCCAACATTACTGTAGCCCATTGGATCCCACTCATCGTTACTTTTTCAATTATTCCTGCAATATGCATCAAAGGGGTCATTATTTTCATTCATTGTATCTCCTTCTTCTCTACTAGTCGCAGTATTTTATTTCCATCTGCTTAAAACATTTTCCACTAAATTCATGTATTAAATCTCATCTCAGCTGACTAGCTGACTGTTTTGTCGTTTGGGATATTTTGGTAAGCTCTGAGAAGAACTTGACCATTCTATGCCCATAGCAACCTCCACTAAACCCTTCAAGGCGGAATGTGGTCATTGTAGTATTAGGGGAGGAGGGGGGGGGGGGGGGGGAGGGGGGTCGATAATGAAGCTCGCTTTAGTTCGTAGAATTAACAGAAATGAATTCTAGAGAGAGAGAGAGAGGGGGGGATATTTGAAGAATATGATGAATCATTCTATTTGTCGATTTTTATTTCTAATGCTTGTATTTTTAAATTGTAAACTTCAATTTATTACACAGTGCCGAGGAAGCGATGCCTCCAAATGGGCATGTACTATTCGTTTCTTTGTGCATCCTCATCTCATTGTCGATTCATCTCTTCCCCCCTCCCCCCTCCCCCTACTTGTTGCTTGATTGCACTTTTATTGGTCAACGTGTTACTATTAAGTGGCTATTGGTGTCTCAATGGTAATTTGTTTTTGACCTTTGCTATATCCTTCATGTGCTTTTCTTATGCTAGCTCTCACAATTTTCAGGTAGGTGGATTTGGCGGTAATTTAATTCAATCTTTTGTCTTCTTCCACTTACTTCCTGACAAGAGTCCTATTCAGCGTTTTTTTCTTCAAGCCCATTAAGAGGTTAATATTTTTTTCGATTTGGAAAATCTACTGGACCCATTCTACCGCATCCTTTTATTGGTACAATAGTGTGAGTGTATTCAATGACTTGGAGTGGCACGAAAGGAGGCCCTTTGGGGAGATCACGATTTCCATCGTTTTGCTGTGTGCTGACATGTCCAGGAGGTTTTAAATCATGTCCTTGAAGGCTATATCGTCAAAAGAGTTATTTGGCCCACTTTTATGCGGTTTGAATGAATAGACACAACAGATTCCACCTTCTAATTACAGCATCTAGTAATTTCGTCTGGACGTATGCTTGTTAACAGGTCTGGAGGAAGGTTATTTGTGTCCACTCACTGATCCTGAATGACCTTCTAGTTATTTTTTCATGAGGATCGGCCATACCACTATCCTTGTTGGCGCATATGGATCAGGGAGGAATGTGTCAAGTTGATTAGACAGATGGGTTCACCGTAAACTTAGTCGATAATTGTGGGATTCTCTAATAGCACATCTGCAATATTTTTTTTGTAATAATATCACGTGCGCATCATCTTCCTCTTCACGTTCTGCCCTTATCATCTTCATGCGTCTAGGCATTAGTATTTTACCTTTTGATTGTGCACTTGAGGTTGTTATTTCTCTACTGTGTAGATGGTTGTGGAGATGTTTTCCATTAATTTTCTCCTTTTTTCATTGGTATACTAACTTGGTTACTATCTTTTTTTGCCCCAGTGACGAAGCAAAGGACACCAAACTAGCTGTTCCTAAGAAGCCGTCTCGGCGTCGTCTTTCCTGGCCGGAGAATGTAGCGGTGACAGACAATTGGGAGGCCTATTCTCGTTTCGCTTCGACACCGGCCAACATTCGTCTGGGCACCACCTCCTTCCTCGCCAAGGCCTCCATCGCCTTGCTGCTTCATGGTACCATCAATTTGTCCGATGTCAGCAAGGAAGCCTGCTGTGTTTCCTAGAAAAGCAGGTCGATGGAAATTTTGACCAAATCATTAGCACTTAGCCATGGCGCGATTCTCGATCTCTTTCGGCGCTACATCATGATCATCCTACTTATTCTTTCTGATTCACACTGCTGTCTTTTCACCCTTTAACTCCCCAATTATCTACAAACCAAATATGCATAAATTAGTGATCTCTACATTTCATGAAATATTAGCTTTTATTTATCACTTAAGTGTAAAAGGTTCGTATTGGGCCTTACAAATATGAGATGGTGGTGAATTTGGCAAGAGCTCATGCAAATCATGTGCGTTTTGGCACACGTTTACTTGCCTTTAATGCTTTTTTTGAATCATTTTATTACTGCTGGGGCGTTAAGGTTCAGGACCTTCGTTATGAACTCAAAATTGTAGCGTGAAAAAATTCTGAACTAAACGAAATGTGTCCTATAAGTTTAGTGCTTGATTACGATATTTTAATTATGCTTGAAAGTTAGAGCTATTGGCTACGGTGGTGATACTTTAAGAGTCCTACTCAGCATTGGGGTGTCTCCTTTAAAAAATCAATAATCTTCACAAAGACTATTGCCCCCTTGGTAAGTCGGGACATCTAGAGTTGAATTGATCCTTTTGGTGTTTTGGTCAGTTGCAGAGCATAGACTAGCTATTAATAGGAAGTGGAAGTTAGTGTTGGGGAAAGGGGACTCTAAACAACATGAAACGCGGAGTCCATGTGAAATTGGTACATAACTGTATCCGTTGTTCCCCTATCAACTGGCCAATGGAATAAATCCCAATGACGTGGGTTTGGGCTAGACAGGGGAGGCCTTTACTCCCATGCTAGTTTCGAGTTCTATTTATCACTTTCATTTAGCTTAATTACAGATGTTACAATGTGCTTCATGGTGGCAAGGCAATTGACCTCGATCGGTCATGTTGGGGGGGGGGGGGGCCCANCCCTCCCCCCCCCCCCCCCCCCCCCCCAACAATACAAAATCTTTTGCTCTGAGGCTCTGGATAAAAGTGATTAACTGGCCATTCCGCGATTTGGAGTTGTTTATTCGGAACGAGGAGGAAGACTTAAGAACTCCACATCTATAAATTTAGATCTTAGTTGGCCGGCGGTAAAATTTTTTCAGTATCCCTGTCTCCTATTTCCAGGAGGAAGAATTGAGTCACAGTTTTTGCCTATTTGCAAGACGACCGTGGCTTAAATGTCATTCATACCACCATTAATAGGTCTGGTTTACTGTTTTCAGGCCTTAATCTTTGTTTTCAATAGCCCTCGATGATTGGCAGGATGAAGTAATTTTTTTCAAGTTGAATGAATAAATTTGAAAAAAATAGAACTTGAAGCATTGCTTTGGAAATGTCGCTCTAACCTAAGACATTAGCCTGCTCTTGTTCTGATCCATGTAAATCGAACAGCTTTCTAATTATTACACACGCCACTGAGAATTTCAATTGATTTACTGGAAAATTAGATCTTTGAAGTTTAAGCAGATTGGAAAAAAAGTGCCCAAATAAAATTGTTTTCACTTATAAATCAAGACTACTCGTCTTCCTATCACACACTCAAGTGAGTCTAGGACATTATCATACTGATTAACAATATACGAAAGTGTTTTTTTTTTTTTGAAAATGAACATATCACCGACCTAGATAAACTAGATCCGAATATTGTGAACTCGTGAATGGGAAGGAGTCATGATACTTGGAAAATTGGTTGGGGGAGGAGGGTTGATAGTATCGTTATGCACTTTATGAGAAGAGGAGCAACTGAATGCTTCAAAGTTTATTTATATCAAATGGCAGGCGTTTTGACAGTTATCATTAGCCCTTTAGTTGACTTCAGGCTTCACAGAGGGGAAGGAACGTCAAAGTGCGCAAAAGTCGAGTTGGTTGGGGGGAACAGAACGGTGTTTCAGAGATGTAAAAGAGTCAGATACAAAGGTAGAAACAAGGTGATATGAGTACTGTGTAGTAGTCGAATATGACATAGAGTGGGGTGATGGTAGTTT